ATGATCAATAAAATAGAGTTTAAAATTGTTTTAATTGTATAGATATTTAGAAAAAACGGTTCCGCACCCCTCTGACCTCCTTACTTTTTAAGTCAATGAAATTTAGTTAAACAAAAAATTGTACTTTTGTATGTTATTAAAATTTAGAAACATTTTTATTTACTAATTTCAAAATACTAAAAAATTAATGACATATTGTATCCTCCTTGATAAAATAAAATAAATCTTAGTGCTCCCTGGAAAGAAAATATTTTATGAACATAATAACTACCCCAAAGAGTATCTTGTATTTTCTGAATATTATCAATGACGATTGCTAAAACCAAAAATAATTTTATACAAAATAGGAAAGATATTTTTTTTCATTTAAAATATATTATACCACAAAATTTAAACTTTAAATTTGATATTGTAATTATCTTATTTTTTTAATAAATGTATAAGTTAATTCACCTACATTTTTCTTAACGAATCATTATATGCCAAGTATTTTTCATTGAATTTTTACAAAATTTATTATAGACGAAACACTTGTTTTATTTCAAGGCTCTAGAAAGATAGTAGAATTTTAGTCGAGTGTGATAGTTTTCCACATAATTAGTAGGTACTGCATAATGATTTGAAAATAATGACTTTACTGATAAATTGTAGATAATACGCGTGCTTACATACAATAACAATAACAATAAGTGATACAAAATAACTATAATTCCTGAAAATATTTGAGCAATTATTTCATTCTTGAATAAGTTTATTTATATATCTCATTTTTTTATATCATTATTATTATTAAATATTTTGAATTAGGTACAGATGACTATACATTATTAAATTTGAAAAAATATCGTATCTGTTATTTTTATAGCTTTTAAATCATTAAAATTTGTCGAAATACATATTTTTCAAAATTAAAAAATACATATCTTCTACAATATTAGCTTTTTTAAAAAAAATATAGCACCTTTTTTATTATTTGTCTTAAAATAAAGACTAAAAATAACATTTTTTATCAATTTTCAACAAAATGGGACTAGATTGCCCCATGGCAAACTGAATTTATATAATATTCGGCATATTTTTGAAGTATTCTAAAAAAAAATTCCTCATAGATTATTATTGTTAAACATTTTTTTTTTATTTCTGGTGGATGTTTATAAAAAATCTAATGAACGCTGTTTTTTTTTAAGATTTTTATTAGGTGTTAAATAATTCCTTAGAATAAAATATGGAGAATATGACGATGCAGTTTTGGCATTTTCTTAGTTTATTTACTAATTGAATAGTAGAATTTGCAGAATTTTACGTAGAAAGAAATGCGAAGTCACGTACAAATTTTAATAAGTTGAAAAGAATACCTATCTATAAAATTTTATAAATATGTTTAACTCTTAGATAAACAAATGATAATTTGCAGATTTCTTTCAAAGTGTAATTCACGATTTAGTTGAAAATTGCAAGCAAATGTCATTTTCTATCATTGTTAAAAGTGAGGAACAGGTTAAACTTTTAGAAATATATTTAGACCCGAAACTAGATTTTGAATATCACATTCAAAGTTTACTAAGTAGTACGTATCATGACACCGAGTAGCTACAACAGTCACTGCCAACTTATTTTTAAACATTTGGGTATTTTACCACTACCATGTTTTATTTTAGAGTGTCTTTTATACATGAAAAAATAAATTGGTAATAATAATGTTATAAGACAGAGCTCTAAACATTCTTATTGCACCAGAGGAACTTATGATATATCTTTACCCAATTACAGATTAACTAAACTTCATGATTCTTCAAAGTTTGTAGGAAACTTGCGTAAAAAAGTATCTATCTATCTATTTATCTATTTATTTTTTTATTGATATGATATTTTTATTCAAAATTAGAAGTAATAAATATAAAAGGGAAGTAAGGTACATTTTATTAAAAATATTAATAAAGAAAGTATCTATCCGGTAGAATATCAAGGCAAAAGTAATTTTATAAGATATAGAGAGAGCAGTTGGATACAAATAATATTCAGACAGAAAAGTAAAATAGTAGAATAAGCAGTGAAGTACAATTAGGGTACAAAGAAAGCCGGCGGATCCAGGAAGAAGAAAGAAAACCTTTTAATACAATTAGTGAATTAATATATTTTTTAATTTTTTAGTTTCAAAATTAATTTGTGTAAACTCACCAAACGTTGAGGGGACTTTCGAGTAAGTCATTGAAATTTGGAGGTAAGAATTTTCCATTTTATTAAGATCCAAATTATTGTATTTGTTTGAACCTACGGACCCTGAGATTAAGAAGTGAAAGTCAAGTTATAGGGTGAGTTAAATTTTTTTTATATATTATAAAATTGATTTTTCATAACAAAATTCTTTATATTTTATCAAAATTATCTATATAATTTATAATAAAGCTAAATTTTTCATATCACTATATACCTATCTATCTATCTATCTATCTATCTATCTATCTATCTATCTTTTTTTTTTTGTCGGGTGAGGAACATTTTATATGCCGGCCCCTGCGCTTGGGATCTGATCTTAAATCTATCGCGACAGGGAGTGTGGGACTCCAACTCCAGGGCTCTCTGGGTGCAAGTCCCTGTTTACCCACTAAACCTCACCTCATATCCCTACCTTCCTTTTCTGGAATCGCTCTCGCATTACTTCGGAAAAGGAGATTGTCTTTGCGTGGATATCTTTTGTTTTCACATGGTAACATGGTTATCGCTAGCAGTCGTTCGTCTAATGCTTTTTGCTTCATTATCCCTCGTATCATTTCTGCTATTGCATTCCAGTTTTCTTCAGTGCGAAGTAGAAGTTCCGCCACGTTGTCTGTTGTGATCTCCGTTCCGCATCTCACGTTTGCAATTCTTCTTAATTCATTCCATCTGGCACACTCAAAGATTGTATGCAGTACTGTATCGTCCATATTCTCGCAGTACCAGCAGCTACTGTTTTGGGCTTTTTTTATTCGTAGTAGGTATTTTCCAAAGATACCGTGACCAGTTAATGCCTGGGTCAGGTAGTCTATCTATCTATCTATCTATCTATCTATCTATCTATCTATCTATCTATCTATCTATCTATCTATCTATCTATCTATCTATCTATCTATCTATCTATCTATCTATCTATCTATCTATCTATCTATCTATCTATCTATCTATCTATCTATCTATCTATCTATCTATCTATCTATCTATCTATCTATCTATCTATCTATCTATCTATCTATCTATCTATCTATCTATCTATCTATCTATCTATCTATCTATCTATCTATCTATCTATCTATCTATCTATCTATCTATCTATCTATCTATCTATCTATCTATCTATCTATCTATCTATCTATCTATCTATCTATCTATCTATCTATCTATCTATCTAATCTATCTATCTATCTATCTATCTATCTATCTATCTATCTATCTATCTATCTATCTATCTATCTATCTATCTATCTATCTAATCTATCTATCTATCTATCTATCTATCTACCCAGACAGCACACCAAATCCTTTGGATATCTACTGAACATCCCAATATCCACTGAATGTCCAGTCCATGGTGGATATCTATTTTATATCCATAAAATGTAATTTATAGACATGCAAATGTCCATAAATAATAGTAATTATATAGCAAATTATTAAAAAATTACGCCATTGTGCTCGCCATTGTGGCTAATAGTACCGTTCAGATATTTAAAATTATTTTTTTTAAGGTGTATTCAATATCCCATGGACATCCACATATATCAAAGTCTTAGCGCGGACGCAAACCATCGTGGATAACTACTAGATGTAATTTTTGATTTTGCTTCCTAAGTATAGATGGCGATACCACTTTCGTATCTACTCATGCTCAACCCGCCATAATTGAGTTGATCGAACATTTTTTCGCATTAAGACTCTATTAGAGGCATTAGAGACTGGAGTCGAAAATTTCCATTTATTGCTGAAGAGTCCTAATAAGGATGACTTTTTCCTTAGTGGGCAAACTCAAAGACAGATTGTTGGAAATATTTGTTATCTCTATTTTCTTTCGACGTTATCATTCATTTGGTTACTTATGAATGTCTACTAAAGATACCTATAAAATATTTTGCTGAATATCTGAATTCTATATCCTGGGATATAGACGGACATTTGGTTGGATAATGGATATCCATATTTGGATATTGGATATCCACAAAATATATTCTGTGGATATCTCTGGGATTTCTTGTATTGTCTGGAAGATACTAATTAGATATTTTGCTGAATATCCATAGGATATCTTCTATATTCTGGATATAGACGGACATTTGGATATCCATATTAGATCCACGGAATATTTCTGATATCCTGTGGATATATTGGATATCCACAAAAGATATTCTGTGGATATCTTTGGGATTCGGTGTGTTGTCTGGGTATCTATCTATCTATCTATCTTTCTATCTATCTATATATCTATCTATCTATCTATTTATCATCTATCTATCTATCTATCTATCTATCTATCTATCTATTTATCATCTATCTATCTAATCTAATCTATCTATCTAATCTATCTATTATTCATTTGTTAATCTGAGATTAAGCCACTGCTCAGAAATAGGTTAGAGGCGGAACATAGGGACCCTTCCTCGTGTATCTTTTGGTGAATTTGCAATGCAACAACATTTTAGGAAATAGGTAAACAGCAGTTGTTCAAGAATTATTAAAAAAAATCTCTTAAAAATTTGGAATCATAATTTTTGAAACACACTATATATTAGTTTTTATCCATGCTGATAAATTAATAACTAATCTATAACGAATTAATTTATCATCAAATTTCGAGTGCGAAATCAAAGTCTGAAATATCAAACGGATTAATTTGGAGTAGCTGGGCAAATCCGGTCCTAGCCTGCCTATAGCATCGCGTCTCGCTCTCGCACGTGGGATGCGGGTAGAAAACAGTGCGAATAACCGCGTACGACGACGTATTGTACGCCAGTGCCAGTTTCAATTCAACTGTTGCACCTAGATATACTATCAAAATAGCGATATACCTGCGACTAACTGACGTTTGACGGGTCGTGTGCGCTCGCTGTGATCTTTATAAATACATGACACGGGTATTGTAACTATTTAAAAACAGTTTGCGAATAAATTGGTAGTCACAATGGCAGAGGAGGATCTCAATGACGATGGGAATGATATGAACACGAAATTCGGTTTGAGGTTACGCGGTAGAAAAGGTGCGCTGAAAAAGAAAAATGTTTATAATATAAAAGATCACCGGTTTATACCGAGGTTCTTCAAGCAGCCGACGTTTTGTTCGCACTGCAAGGATTTTATATGGTGAGTTTCTTTCATTGGAACAATCAATCTCGCAGTTTTATTATGTTTCTAGTTGGAAATGATCTCCCTAGGGACTAGGTAATAATTGATTTTTCTCCCTGCCACCGTAGAAGCGGGTCATTCATTCATAAAAGATATTGTACTTACTGTTGACAATTATTGTGAGCTTATTACATTATTCGTTTTAGTTATTAAAGCCAATTACTTCGTACAAAATTAAAAATAAACAGTAAATTTTAATTGATAAAAATCTATTTGTAAATAAGGTACTTTTCAAAATAATACTTCAAATTTAGTATATAAGTACCTGCCAAGGTTACGTCCGTCCGATCAATTTTACCGATATGTAAGGTAGTCAGAAAAAGTTACAAAACAAAAATATACCCATTATTATTCTGACAATAATAGTAACACCTAAAGTTCGTCTTCAAATTTTAATATGTCAATCAGAAAATGGTTAAAAGTTTAGAATAAATATAGTCAGAAAAGAGCTGTCACTTCAAAAACTACTGGAGTATAAGAAACCAACAAGGCCCATACCTACTAGAACGTTTTTCTAGTTACGCCATTGGTAGGATTCACCTGTTAATCTTGCTGGTAAAAATTGTCCAATTAGATAGTCAGTTCAAACGTTCAACAAAATTTGCTGACAAAAATAACTTTCTTTAATAACTTTTCTAAAAAATTAAAATTGTGTGCCATCGTATGAATCAACCAACCACCTTCAAAACATAAATCTTGAGTGAAAATCCCGAGACAGTAGAGCTTAAACACGCTGTATGTGATATAGGTACAGGAGATTTCTTTTTAGAACCTTCCAAACGGTTTTTGGGCTGACTTGCAATCTTCCTGGTACTATTTGAAGGATCTTTTTTTATCGAATGGTTAGGTGTTGTTATAGTTAGTGATCTTCCACCATCTGTATTTTTATTAAATTATGTAACTTCTTCACCTAATCATGCAAGTAGCTTTCTAAATGTGTTGGTACTTGGAATTGTTAGGATATTTCTATGAAAAAAAAATCTACAGTTACAGTAACACTGGAAATAACTGAAATCTAAATAGTAAAAAAAAAACTGTAACTAGTATTAAATGAAGATTGTAGTTAAATATATGTAATAAAAACTAACGACGTCTATGATACAGTTGAATAACTATAAATATTAAAAGAATTGCCACCTGTTACTTGTAATAAATAATTTAATCCGAAATTTATTTATATTTAACTCTAACTTTCATCTTATAACTCAAAACCGACATATATATTATAAAGTAAGTTATATCTATGTCTTTTTAGACTCAATCCAACACGGCATAATAACTAGCGGCGACTTCAAAGGGACTGCGCACATGGTCGTACCGTTTTTTATATTAAAATTAAATAAATTAAATTATTGATTGGGTATAGTTCTTCCATTATCAATTGCAGAATATAAAAATTCGTTTCGACAATTTTGTTTGATCTGCCATAGGCGTAGATACCTCATTTTATAAATTTATTATTTTTAACAAACGCTTTGAGAAACCGCGAAAATTTTTCTGACCGTGTGCGCTACTGAACAAAGAACAACTGAAGGGCAGCCAGGCCAGTGCCAGGTGAAAATTTTCTGGAACAGTAGATGGGTGGGAAAAAAATAGTAGATCATCGAAACTGAACAGTATAAGTATAAAAAAAAAATATATAAGAAATGAAAAATAAACATTTTTGGCTTTTATACCCAAATTAGAAATTAAACAAAGAAAAAAATAAATAAAATTTGTAAAACTTAATGTCAGGAGACAAAAATAATAGGTACCTATTTCTTTCAGATCAGTCTGAATCAGATAATTCAAATATGTTGTGTTTGTCATGCATATTCTATACCTAGGATTAAATGACGTAATGAACTGTTCTTTTATAATCCATATTGTCAAACAAACATCTTAGTTAGATATCCAATTATAAATATGTGGAATATTTTTAACAAAGTATGCCAAAAGTATGACATTAATAACGATAATATTAATACCATCTTAAAGGCTTATTTAGAACTATTGGACCAATAGTTAATTTTTTATTTTATTTTTTATAGGTACTTCTGTTTATGCACCTTATGTTTTATTTTCTGTTATTGGGTGATCCTATTGAAAATAAACATTAATATTATTATTATGCCCTATTAATGTTTTGTTGCATTTTAAATCAAAACATGATGATTTTCTGGAAGTTAAATATTTTTCGTGTGGCGCAAACCTGCAATACTGGCTGTATTCAACTTATTACGCTAATTTGACTTCAGCAAATTTACTTGAAAAAATATCCTTTGTACATTTGCTGAAGAACCAGGCAAAAATTGCTAACACAGTAGATATCATGCCTAAAACAGTAGAACAGAAATAAAAACAGTAGATTTACTGTTAAAACAATAAGTGTGGCAACACTGATCCAGGCGTCCAAGCAATTCTAAGAAATCTCGTGACCGCTCACTTGTGGACTTTACATCAATTGTAGTTAAGTTGATGTTTAAAACTTAATTGGACCATATCAGTACTATACCAAGACAATTCGCGTTTATTTGCAATATGACGGTATAGAATTTGTATTGTTCTCAGCGCTTAAATTATTACGCACCCCCGGTACAAACGTCTGTGTTGAATTGAGTCTAGAAAGACTATACTTTTTTCAATACACTCTGGTTCTTTGATATTTTATTCTTCAGACTTTTTTTTCACCCTTAAACTCTTATTATAATCCTACTTAATCGTTCTACTATTCTAAAAGCACCAGTGGCGGCTTGTGAACAAGAAATTAGGGGTTCACAATGCGAGAATACAGATTTAGGTAAACAACTTTCAGTATTTTGGGAAGGTATATTATAAATACTGAAATTTTTTACCTAAATCTGCACTGAGATCGTTATTCTATCATTGTGAACCCAGGGCCGACTAGAAAGGGGGGTAGTCGGCACAAATTCCCGGGGCCCGGAGTCAAATGGGGGCCCGGCAGCGGTATAAGGGGGCCCGTCAACGGTTTTTTTTTGTATGAGAAATGTGACACAAGACGAGAGGGGAGTGAAGTTTTTGGTGGGTTTTTTTTTTTAGAAAAGTTTGTGTTTGAGGACCTTTTTTTTTAGAAAAAGCAATTTAAGTAGAAGAGGAAAAGTTTTTGTTTAAAGAGCTTGTCACGGGGCCCGATCTAGAGAGTTGTCCTGTGGCCCGGCTTGGCTCTCGGCGACTCTGTGTGAACCCCCAATTTTTTGGTGACGAGCCGCCACTGAAAAGCACATAACTGCAGATTATAATGTAAAAGAACCGTCCATTATATCCGCATAGTTAACATTTCAAAAATATCCTTGGTATAAAATTAAATTGAGTATTTCTAGTTTGAGAAATTTGCCATAATATAAAATTCTCGCTATGTAAACAAAATGTGGGTTGATTGAATGAACTCGACGATCGTGTACGAGTATATAATGAAAAATTTAAATTTTGCTTACGAAATTTCAAACTGAATTTTATATTATCGCCATTTTCTTCTTATTTACCAAGTCTCCGTCATAAGATTAAGTTTTGGATTAAATTGTTACTTGAATGAATTTATCTCTTTTTGAGAGTAAAAGTTCAGGCTTCAAGCTTGAGTGGGTTGATTTAGGGATAGAATGAGGTGTGGTGAAATTTTAATTCAAAAAATAAAAAAAATCCGTAAAGTATTTTACCCGGAACTTCCCTCGATATAAAAATTGTAAAAACAGGTTCGGATCAAGAAGAATATTAAAAAAACTCTTTTACTGTCATTGAATGATAATGATTGGCTGATTTTAAAGTGGTCCAGTTACACAAACTAATAGGATGCTTTTTAATATTTCCATTCAAGGGAGACTTTTTTGATTAAATACGATTCTTGTTAAAGCCATTTGGATTTTTTTTTATGATCTGTTATCTTAGACTTCTAAAATAGTAAGATACCGATTTCAGTCGAAATCTGTTTTTTAAAACTGCTCACTCTGTATATAACTGACCGGAAGTATAACTGGTTTTGAGCCAGAAAGGAACCTTATATGTATACAAAATTTGAAGTTTTCTTCTAAAGCTGTTTTTGAGCTATCGCGAAAGGGGAAACATGTTTTTCATAATCTAGGGACCTTAAAACGTAAATATCTGAAATAATCTCGGAATGAGGCTGAAGCTAGCAGACAAACCGCGCGGCGGTCCCTTTAGGTTTTGATATTGTTATTCGGCAAAATCTTTGGTTTAGGTAGACTTTGGTATCATGAAAGTTTAGAAATAAATAAATATTAGTGTATTTATTGAAAAAAATGGATTAATTCAATTTGAATTATTAGTAAAAATAAGATAATCTTACACAAAGACGGGGACGAAACAACCACATTTACAATGCGATTATAAATATAATTTTTATATCAAAAATTAGATTTTTGTTAATTGACTAAACAAAAAATTATGGCCAAGCAATGATTTAAAATATATTTTTTTGGTCTTTTTAAAGTCAGGTGTTTTGTCGTTAAACGACTATAAGAACAAAAAGACCAAAAAAAAAACACATTTAGCATGAGATTACAAATACAATTTTTATACCAATAATTTGGTACACCACTAGCTATAAAATAAATAAAAAATCATTTAATAGCAAGACATCTAAATATAGTTTTTAGATCATTAAAGTCAAGCGTTTCCGCGGATAAATATTACTTAATAAAACCAACAAAAACAATCACTTAACACGAGATTCCAAATACAGTTTTTATACCAAAGATTCAATAAACAAGTATCAATAAAAAAAAATAATAAATTATCAAATAACAAGATCTCTAATTACATTTTTTAAGTCTTTAAAAATGTGAGATTCCGCGGATAAACCTTACTTTATCAAAATGACAAAAACCAATATTTAGCACGAAAATCCAGGTATAATTTTTAGTATGAATGATTCAATACATTATTATAATTCAAAAAAATAATAAATCATTACATAGCAAGACCTCCAAATACGTTTTTTAGGT